TATCAAAAAACTATTTTTGTATGGTTCTAATGGTTATAATTCAGGCTTTTAAGAGCCAATATAGTTTTCTCAAGAATTTAAGTTTCAAATACAATTGCAAATCATAGAATTTGCCAATTCTTTGTTTTGGGGCAGGAATATTATTGTGTGAGCATTGCTCACAGTATGTCTAGTTTTATCTTGATTTTTATTTTATTAAATAATGACATCTCACATGAAGGCAATGGAAAAGCTGAATATTTGAAAAAACATAAATTTGTTTCTGGAAAAAAAAATTGATTGCGAAAGTGGTGAATACAAATATTAAATGGAATATGTTTGCCAGGGTAGCAATTGATTCAGCCTCCTTAGAAGCTTCTAGTATGAATCAGAAGCATGCCGTATAAATTCAAAAGGTACACATACTTATATGCATAAAATGTTATAACTGGTCACTGATGTTAACAGATCCTTGACAATATTCTTAATTAGTTACTCAGTATAATAAAACTGATGATCGATATCTTGTTGTGTTAACAAAATATATACTTATGTATATAGTCAATTATAATTACATAAGTCTGTAAAACTGATGTTGCAAGAAATACAATATGACAGAAAAGAATGGTAGAAGTCAATTAACTATGTTTTGTATAAATAGGCAGAATTATTGTAAGTTATAACATCAAAGAAAGCTGATTTTATGATAGCTGATAATTTGTAAAATAAAAACCATTTGTGCTACACCTGATTAAACACATCTGGTTAAAAGGAGCATCTTTATTAAAGCTATCCTATAGTTTATTATAACATACACATGTGGCATACCTGAAGATATAGGTAATATTTACCTGCATCTGTGAATGTCAGGTAGAATGACTTCTGCCAGTCAAATTTGAAAATTTATGTCTGTAATCTTTCCTGTCATGCACCTGGATGTTGAATGTGGAACAAAACAAAAAAATAGTTGCATAAGATTAACAGTATCAAGTATAACCACCTCAAAATTATGATTAAAAACAAAAACAGGTTTATTTCCTATACCATATAAAATTTGAAAAAGGCATATGGACTAATTTTCCATTAAATAGCAATTTCTCTCAACTGTTTGAGGATAACCAAGCTGCTCTAACACTTCAGTAATGATTAGAGGCCATAAAAATAATTACTTTATAAACTTGGACTGCTATTTAGCTCACCTGGAACTTTGAGCCAGTGTCAGCCTTAATGCCATCACTTGGTGTCTGTTGTTTGCTGTCCATCGTAGTTGTCTGGTGACTAAAAAGTTTTACAAAAATTTTCTACTCTTAAACAACTGGACCAAATTGAACCAAACTTGGCATCAGTCGTCCTGGGGTATCTATTTTAAAAGGTGTGTCTAATGATCCTACTGGCCAACCAACATGGCCCACCAAGGCTAAAAAAGAACATGGGGTAAAAAGGAAGTACTGTCAAGATCTTCATACTGTCTATTTCGATCAAAATTGTAAGACGACTCCTTATAGGAGTTATTGCCCTTCATTTTATTTTTTTTGCCTATTATCTTGAAATCTGTAATAAATAGAGAAATACAGCTTCAGCAACACACAGGAATCACTTCTGTTGTCTTGCGTTGTTTTCTTTGTCATTGTCTATATGGTTCATTTCACACTTTTTAGCTGACACTGGCCCAAGTGAGCTTTTCTCATCACTTGGCGTCAAGCGTCCGGAGTCTCGATGTCCGTCGTCGTCGTTAACTTTTTACATTTTGAACTTCTTCCAGAGAAACACTGAATGGAATTAAACCAAACATTGCATGAATATTCCTTATGAGGTGCTGACCAAGTGTTTTACTTTGCAGCTGATCCATCATCCAAGATGGCCGCCAGCGGGGGACTTCTTTTAACATAGGACCCTATGGACAATACATACAAATGTCTTCTTTTAGAGAACAACTGAATGGAATGAAACCAAACATGGCATGAATGTTCCTTATGAGGTGCTGACCAAGTGTTGTTACTTTGTAGCTGATCCATCATCCAAGATGGCCGCCAGCGGGGGACTTCGTTTAATATAGGACCCTATGGACAATACATACAAATGTCTTCTTTTAGAGAACCACTAAATGGAATGAAATAAAACATGGCATGAATGATCCTTATGAGATGCTGACCAAGTGTTGCAACTTCGTAGGCGATCAATCATCCAAGATGGCAGCCAGCGGGGGACTTCGTTTAACATAGGACCCTATGGACAATACATACAAATGTCTTCTTTTAGAGAACCACTGAATGAAATGAAATAAAACATGGCATGAGTGTTCCTTATGAGGTGCTGACTAAGTGTTGTAACTTTGTAGGCGATCAATCATCCAAGATGGCAGCCAGCGGGGGGACTTCTTTTAACATAGGACCCTATGGACAATACATACAAATGTCTTCTTTTAGAGAACCACTGAATGAAATGAAACCAAACATGGCATGAATGTTCCTTATGAGGTGCTGACCAAGTGTCGTTACTTTGAACCCGATCCATCATCCAAGATGGCCGCCAGAGAGGGACTTAGTTTAACATAGGACCCTGTGTGAAATACATACAAATGTCTTCTTTTAGAGAACCACTAAATGCCCTTAATGGAATGAAATAAAACATGGCATGAATGTTACTTATGAGGTGCTGACCAAGTGGTGTAACTTTGTATGCGATCAATCATCCAAGATGGCAGCCAGTGGGGACTTAGTTTAACATAAGACCCTATGGGAAATACATACAAATGTTTTCTTTTAAAGAACCACTGAATGGAATGAAACCAAACATGGCATGAATGTTCCTAATGAGGTGCAGACCAAGCGTTGTTACTTTGTAGCCAATCAATCATCCAAGATGGCTGCCAGTGGGGAACTTAGTTTAAAAAAGGACCCTTTGTGAAATACAAACAAAAGTCTTCTTTTGAAGAACCACTAAATAGAAAGAAACCAAACATGGCATGAATGTTCCTTATGAGGTGCTGACCAAGTGTTGTTACTTTGTAGCAAATCCATCAACCAAGATGGCTGCCAACACGGGACTTAGTTTAACAAAGGACCCTATGGGAAATATATACAAATGTCTTCCTCTAGAAAACTGCTTAATGGATTGAAACTAAACATGGTATGACTGTTTCTTTTGAGGTGCTGACCAAGTGTTGTTACTTTGTAGCTGATTTGTCATCCAAGATGGGTGCCAGCAGGGGGAGTAAGTTAAACATAAGACCCTATGGGAAATACATACAAATGTTTTCTTCTAGAGAACCACTGAATAGAATGAAACAAAGTTGTTACTTTGTAGCCGAACCATCATCCAAGATGGCCACCAGCAGGGGACTTAGTTTAACATAAGACCCTATGGGAAATACATACAAATGCTTCTTCTAGAGGAGCACTGAATGGAATGAAACCAAACATGGCATAAATGTTCCTTATGAGGTGCTGATGAAGACCTAAATACATGTATCTTTATAGATTGAGATATACTGTAAACTACAAAAAAATCAAGAAAAGAAGATCTACACATAAGTTAACATGAGCATAATTGTCAATTGACATCTTGTTGGAGCTATTGTCCTTATAAAATAATTTTCTAAAATTTCAATGAATTTATTGGTAATTTCTGTAAACTTTACAAAAGTCTTCTGCTTTTGATTAAAATTACGGGGCCAATATTAAACCAAATTTGGCCTCAATCATTATTAGGGTATCTGTTATGATTTTAATCTATTTTTACATGATTTCCAAAACCAAAGTAGAATCATTTGAGCGACACAGGCTCTTGAGAGCCTCTAGTTTTAATCCACAACAAACAGCTTGACAATTCAACCAAACTTGCAGATTATTCTACAGCACATGAAATCTTGCATCTTCCATTTTAGCGTTTATCTTTAAGATTTTTTTGGGTTCCCCCTACCTTAACTTGGATTTTGTCATTTCTGCTTGTATAATTTGGGGATAGCTGGCAACACCTGTCTTCCTTTGAAGACTGAACATTCAATTTTGAAAGATGGGTCATATTATGATATACTATTGTCTGTCCATCCGTTGACACAAACTCAAATATTTGCTTCAACCAATTTTTTGTATTTTTAACACAACATTAGGATTGATGGATGAAAGCTCCCTGTCTATTTTGAAAAAAGTTGCTTTGTTGTTCCACAGTTATGGGAGTTTAACTTAGATTTAAGGCAATTTTTTTGCATATTGCGCACTAACTGGTTAAAAGAAAACTCCGTTTGGATTGTTTTAATTTTCTGGTTTGTCGTTCTAGAGGTACAATTGTTAGATTTAAGTGAATTTTCACATTTTGTACCATAACTTGAATTTGCTTTGATTGATTTACTAGAAACTTTACATGATTGTTGGAATTGGTGAACATAACATACAAGTTTATTGAAAGAGAATTCTGGTATGTCATTCTTGGACTTTTAACAGCCATATTTGACACAAGGTAACTTCATGCACATTTTTCTGCAGACCCAGTTTATTTGCTATATTTTGCCTTCTAAATATCCTTTTTTGTTCTTGCAACAATTTCAATATGCATATAAGCATGTATCATGTGCTCTTGACGCAGCTGCTTATTAAATTATTAAAGCAATTTCAAGTGTCATCTGAATTAAGAATAATATAAAAATAAGGAGATGTGGTATGATTGCCAATGAGACAACTATCCACCAAAGGTCAAATGAAGTGGATGTAAGCAATTCAAAACAGGTAACCGTAGGGCCTCAACAATGAGAAAAACCCATACTGTATAGTCAATGACCATTTATTGTTAGATGTCAGCCATGCGATAAATGAGGGCAATTATTGAAATGTCAATGTTATAACTGATATTTTTATTCTTTTTTTAAAAGACACTTTTTATCTTTCCTTAATTGAAAAAAAATTCTCCAGCATGTACTTTCAATGTAGCTTTAAACAGTATATCACCCTTTTATCCTTGGTTTTTGGAATTCAATTATAATTTCAGTATTTAACTATTTTATAAAGTATTTTTCTTTTTTTCAGGGTTGTATGAACAACATCACCTTTGGAGATGACCATTTTGGACATTACGAGACAGTAGCTGGTGGAGCAGGGGCTGTAAGTTTGGATTATAGCAAAAAATAGTGTTAACAGAAAAATCACCTAGTCAAATCTAGCCGTTGAATGCATAGAAAATCATAAAAGTTAAACGTTTTTTTAGCATTTTTTTTCAAATTGGTGTAAGCAATATCAAAGAATTTTGATCAAATAGTACTGACTCATACTATAATTACTTCCTTGTTTCACTGCTAACAGTAAAAAATGAGATGGTTCAAAAAGTTGAGGAAAAAACATACAACAAAGTAATACAACTAATTTACACATTATATGAAAATGTTAGGTCATAGGTCCAAAAACAATATTTTGTGTCTTGCCTGTGATGAAAGTACATAGGGATTATACTATCTGGCTGCGGCTGTATTTGGTGTATGTGATAATTGTTAGGTGTATTTGTCTGTCTGGCAACATACATATCAATCAATCTTCTTTTGGCCTAATAACAGTTTGGACTCAGTTATCCCTTTGAGCATCGATTGAGCTGACATTTTTATGTAAATGTGTACTAAGTAGTTACAGATCATGAAAGAGTTTTGTTATGATTGACCTCCTTTAAATCTGACTATATGTCCTTTGATTTGAAAAATTTCTGTAAAATGACTACTTCTGTTTTTAGCTTTTCCCATTAATTGTCATCTGTTGTCTGTTGTCATATTCATCTGTTGTCGTTCATTTACTTTTACAAAACTCTTCTCCTCTGAAACTAAAGGGCAAAATTTAACCAGACTTGGCAACAATCATCATTGGGGTATTTTGTTTTAAAAATGTGACAGATGATCCTGCTGGCCAATCAACATTGCAACCAAGGCTTAAACAGAACATTGGGGTAAAAAGCAAGGATTGTCTATTATTGTTATAGATAAGAGAAAATCTGACAAGGCTGTTCAAAAGAAATACTAAAGATATCAACTAGATATTCAGACTCATAAGTCCAAAACAAACTAACAATGCCATGTGTCTGAGGACCTTGCCTGCCAACCAACATTGCCAACATGGCAAGTTTTGTCTATTTTCTTGAAAACCGCTATAGATAGAGGAAATCTGATAGGCCAAAATGTTCAGAATGTTGAGAGCTTACAGTATGGTGATGATGGGCAAGAGGCTGGGTGGAGAAAAGTGGGTACCTTATTTGTGTAATCAACTCCTACAGTTTTCAACCCAGATTTCTGAAACTTCACAGGAAGATTGCACATAGGTTGATGTTGTTCACCTACTATATAAAAATAGTTTGAGGAATTTTTGTCATTTTTCCAAACTTTGGAACTAAATCACTTTTAGCAAAATTTAGTCACAAATACTGCAACCCTGCCACTTGAGACTTTGACCCATTTTTTTCATTTTTGCCTATTATCACTATTTTACGAATTTTTCCTTTGATCTTGCTGACTGATAATTTCCATTCGCAGCAGAGTCGAGTGATATGAAAATTATTGCTAGAAACTAAGGGAGCATGTGCCGTTGTCAAGGAAATTAACAATGTCTTCATAGGTAAAATAGCGATAAACAGATTACCAATGAAGAACATATTGTTTTACATTACTGGTACTCAGAAAACTGAAGAACATTGTTTTACATCAGTGATGCACAGACAACTGAAGAACATTGTTTAACATTAGTGGTACTCAGACAACTGAAGAACATTGTTTAACATTACTGGTACTCAGACAACTGAAGAACATGGTTATACATCAGTGATGCACAGACAACTGAAGAACATTGTTTTACATCAGTGATGCACAGACAACTGAAGAACATTGTTTAACATTAATGGTACTCAGACAACTGAAGAACATGGTTATACAGTAATGATACTCAGACAACTAACAAACATGGTTGTAAATTAGTGGTACCCAGAAAATGGAAGGACATGGTTTTACATAAATGGTTCTGAGACCAGTGAAGCATATTTAATAGTGGTACTCACAGAGGATCATTGTTTTACATTAGTACTACTCAGACTACTGAAGAACATGATTTAACATTATTGGTACTCATGGTTTTATGTTAGTGGTAAACAGACTACTAAAGGATATTAGTGGTGCTCTGCTGACCTCTGAAACTCTATTACATAAGGTGTACACAGACCACTGAACAATATTTTTATGCCCCTGCCGAAGGGGAGGGGGCATTAAGTTTTACCCTTGTCCGTCTGTCCGTACGTACGTCCCAATTTTTTGTTTCCGTTCTCTAACTTAAGTTTGCCTCAACCAAATGTTATGAAACTTATACACAATGCTTATTACCACAAAACACAGATCAAGTTTGAATTTTGGTGATGTCATTTTTACTGTTCTAGAGTTTGCCCCTTTACAAATGGAAAAATTGCTAAATTTTTTGTTTCCGTTCTCTAACTTAAGTTTGCCTCAACCAAATGTTATGAAACTTATACACATGGCTGATTACCACCAAATACAGATCAAGTTTGACATTTGGTGGTGTCACTTTAACCGTTCTAGAGTTTTGCACCTTTACAAATGGAAAAATTGCTGAATTTTTTGTTTCCGTTCTCTAACTTTAGTTTGCCTCAACCAAATGTTATGAAACTTATACACATGGCTAATTACCACAAAATACAGATCAAGGTTGAATTTTGGTGATGTCACTTTTACTGTTCTAAAGTTTTGCCCCTTTACAAATGGAAAAATTGCTAAATTTTTTGTTTCCGTTCTCTAACTTAAGTTTGCCTCAACCAAATGTTATCAAACTTATACACAATGCTTATTACCACAAAACACAGATCAAGTTTGAATTTTGGTGGCGTCACTTTAACCGTTCTAGAGTTATGCCCCTTTATAAATGGAAAAATATTTCCGTTCTCTAACTTAAGTTTGCCTCAACCAAATGTTATGAAACTTGTACACAATGCTTATTACCACAATACACAGATCAAGTTTGAATTTTGTGGCGTCACTTTTACTGTTCTAGAGTTATGCCCCTTTACAAATGGAAAAAAATGCTAAATTTTTCATTTTTTTACACAAGTGATACCCAGATTTGGTCAATATTTTTTCATAGATGGTTGCTAGAGATTAAAAATAACAATTGTTTTAAGGTCAAATACTTTTCTATGAAAGTTGAAGAGAAAAAAAACATTTGGTGAAACTAAAGAAGAACATTTTAAATTTCCACTTGAAAATTTAAGGTTTTTCAAAGTTTTTGAGACTTTCTTTATGTCTGTAAAAAGATAAATTAAAGATTAAGCCTTCTCAATTCCTCTCTAAGTATAACTGTCAAATTAAAGTTCTTAGTTTTATTGTTATAAACAAACTTTAGGCAGTATAGAAGGTATATAGATTTGGCATACTGAGGTGAACTACTACTTCATTTTTGAATTTGATAAGTAAAACAGGAGAGATTGTATATGGTTTTTGGCACATTGAAGTAAAGTACTAAAACTATACAGGACATAAATCCACTGACCTCAGCTGATTAGGTGATGATTAATGATTGCTTATTTTTTTTATCTTTAAATCAGAGACCACTGCTGTGATCTAACAGGTTAACTCTAGTCATCAGTCAAACATCAGATTAATCAGATGGGTATAACATCAAAGATAAATATTCATTAGTTTTCTGAAAGTGAGATATTATTTGATTTTATTTTTTTATTGATTTGAGTTAAAGAAAAAACTGAATTAAAAGGCACCATATTCATAACTTTTTCCGAAGCAATGATTTCATTTTCTGTCTCCCGTACATCCAACGTTAGCTGTTACCACCATTTGTATAAAACTTTTGAAAAATTTTAAATGTGCATTTTTAAATTAATATTAATAGCTTTTGTGTTGTCCAAACTTAAGTGCAATTGAATATGATACCTTAACATATTTTCTTGAAGAATGCTTCAGACAATATTGGTCACATGGACATCATTTTTTGTTAAGTGGATGATTATCTGACTAATATGCATCTTTCTGTAACTAATTTATATAGATCCAGAAGGATTTAGCCTTTAAAATGCATTAAAACAGCACATCTGCTAAAAGTTGGACTTACATCATGTGTGAAGCTATAAGCATCTTTTAAAAGAAAAACAGTAAACAGAAAAGATGGTGAAACAGTAATAAAAAAAAAATTTGGTTTATTGAAATTAACAAATTTTAGAGTGAAGATATTGGTTTTTAGATGTGACATGTTAAGTTTGAATTTTAGGACCAAACCTTTCTAGCCATATTCATCTAACTAAACGATGAAATGAGTTGCCACAGATATATACCATTTTCAGAGCCATATGTCCTCCATTCACAGTTTATGACTTATCATGGAGTTCAATTTTTTTCCAGAATTTTTACCTAATATAAGCAAGATTATTCCATTAGTACAAAAGGAGCTTCTTACCAATCTAAAGCAACTATTTTCAACCTGGGTTATATGGTGGGATTCACATTGCTCAATTTTAAGATTTTTCAAAATATTGTTTCGTTAGCTGTTGTTTGTCTGTTTATAGTTTTCCTATGGTGTTCTCTGTAATTTCTTTGTCCCAGCGTAACGCGTTGTGGGTGACATGGAAATACCGGGCGTCCATCCATCCGTCCAGTCTTTTTAGCACTCTCACATGTACAATTCTTGAAGTATGAAGCTTATATCATAGGTTTATATCAGCAATGTCTTGAACGAGTTCGAAAATCAGTGCCGATCAATATTTTTTAAAAGAGTTATGCCCCTTGGACACATTAATTTTATGGAAAATTGCATCGTTAGCACTCGCATGTGAACAATTCATGCCAGAATTTTATGAAACTTATATCATAGGTTTATATTAGCAATGTGTTGGACGAATTCGAAAATCAGTGCCGATCAATTAGTTTTAAAAGAGTTATGCCCCTTGGAAACATTAATTATATTGAAAATTGCATCGTTAGCGCTCTCATTTGTACAATTCTTACAAGATTTTAATGAAACTTATATCATAGGTTTATATTAGCAATGTCTTGGACAATTTCGAAAATCAATGCCAATCAATTATTTTTAAAAGAGTTATGCCCCTTGGAAACATTAAT